GCGGGTGATAAACCTGGCGATACATAGAGATTATCCTATATGAGGTTCAGGATATTGGAACTATCCCGATTCAAATATAATATATCTGCCCAAGGGCGATTATGACTGAGTGGGCAGATATACTATATCTGCCTGCTCGCAACAGAATGTTATAGGAATATCCTATGGTTTTGAAAAAATATCATTTATATCCATGAGTGGATATTGATATCTTCATGAGTGAGCGCAGCGAATGAGTGAAGATATTTGTATCCATGAGTGGATATAATTGATATTTCTGAAAAACCATAGGATTGTCCGTTTATCCCATGGAAAATCATCATCAGCAATAAAAGTTGAAAAATATAATTTGAGAAAAAATTTGAAAAGATTATTGAAAAAAAATTGTGAAAAAATGTTTCAAAATTAAAAAAAATAATTAAAAAGTGTAAAAAGATTTTTTTTGAAAAAATTCGAAACCATTGAATATCACTTTTTAAACCACCGAATATCACTTTTAAAACCATCGAATATCACTTTTTAAGACGTGATATTCGATAGTTTAAAAGTGATATTCGATGGTTTGTGAATTTTTTGCTAAAATATGATATCTTGATCCACATATCAAATATATCTTCATGTGATATTCGATCTATATCCTTGCAGCCATGGGATAAAAAGCTATATCTGCCCGCTGATGAAAATATAAGTTTTTACAAACCTATTTTATGTACCTGAAACACGACCAAGTATGGGATAAAGCGGGATATGCAGTACATGTATATCCCCACTCACCTAAGGTATCAATTATATTCATGCATTTTATTTACCTATAACACTAAGTATAGGATAAATAACTTTTACTGACAAATTGTATAAGTGCATGATTACATGAGTCACAACTACTCACTAAAAGGTTAACTTATTGCATGAAGAAATGTAATTCTTCATGAAGATTTCAAATATGATATCACTTATTTGACTGAATTTTGAATGATGTAAAGCAAAATTATTTCTACTTGCATCTAAATCTATTTCATTGTATAAGTCAACAATTAATAAGGCATATACATATCACTGGCTTCCTTGATTCATTTAGATTCCTTGCACTTTTAAAATCATCAATAATTCATATAGGGTTGAACTATCGAATAATGAAAACATTGCAAATGATGTGATCGAAATTTTTATACTATTTAGCTTGGAAATATTGCTGATATAGTTTTAATGTGATTTTAGGAAATTAAATGTTCTACTGAGGAACTTTGATTATGTTCAATTTTCTATGATCTTTAACTTTCTGAAAAAGGTCACACTAAATTCTCATTGAGACGATGTTAAAAATCTTAATGTTGACTTCCTAAATGTTGAATTCTTTTGATTGTCATGAATTTAAGGTTCACACAAAATCTGAAGATCATATAGTTTCAAACACAATCTGAATCTCATTAAGTTTGGTGCGAAAGCAGTTTTACTTTAATCCAAAATAACAAATATGGTAAATCAATATGTGTCTATGGTAGATGCTAGCGTGTAGTCCAACCAGCATAAGTGCTGCCATCTACCTATCCATTCATCAGTTTAGCACCTAATAAGGTCAGTACTCATGGTAAAGCTTTTGTACCTTGTCTATGGTAAAAATAAATCAAACAGAAATGTTAACTTTACACGATTGGTAATGCCCACCTTGAAGGGTGTAGGGATAAAGGGAAGGGTCAGGATAACACTTATATAAAATATTTAAAGTGTCTAATAATGATAATGAACATATTACAATGTTACACAACATAAGTAGATGCTAATTAAATGTCAATTGTTGTTAGTATAATATGTATTTTTCATTTAATGCTGCAACAAGTACACGCGTACCAAAAAGTGCCACGTCCACTTTTCCCTAAAAGCAGCTATGTGTGACTATATTTGATAAATATTATTGATTTATAGGATCATTATGAACACTTTTCAGTGTTTAAATGTTAAAATATACATATTGATACAATTTTTGACAAAGTAGCAGCCATAAAATCCAAACAGATTTGCAAATATTTCACTTTGAGAACAAAGGGACACATTTGGGAGGGGGTCAAATTGAGAATATTTCGAGATATAAATACTGTTTCTATGGTAACCATATAAGTTAGAGATTGGAAATTTTTGGCACTTACTAACCATAACATGCCCTACTCAATATAAAACAATGAATATCTGGCATGCATTAGTATTCTTTTTATTGGCTGGTATTAAAGTACCCCCATGGTTTTTTGGGGGTAGGGGTATAAATTGGTCCGAGGGCCGTCTGCCACCCCTATAGAAAGTCCAACTACCCAGAAAGTGTCTAGTATCATCATACAGATGGTTTGAAATAGGTTGGAATGTGTAACCTTTCATGTAAGGAAGGATTTACAATTATCAGAGTGGGGCGTAGTCTATACAGCAAACTGTATCTAGCAGCTCACATAATTCCTCCCCTGACAGAGTTGCTTTTGTGCATTGTTGTTTTGTTGCAGAATTAAGTGTTCTACTAGTAAGGTAGTTAGTACAACATCTAATGCGGTACCAGGATCCTTAAAATATTGATCTAATAGATACTGTCATACGCTGTCATACGCTGCATTGGTGCAAGCCTTTTGGAACATGTTGCACTTGAGGAATGTCTTGCCATGATAAAAAAACCAAGATGGCTGCTGCCAGTTGAAAATTCTAATATTTCACTTTCCTTTTTAAATATAGAGCACAAGTTCCTGGTTTGAATTTTTTGGCCGATTTGGAGTCCTAACTTGGAGTGACCTAAATGAACACTAAAGTTCAAACCATACACTTTTACCCACTTTCAATTCATATGAAATAAATGCTCATTGCACAGCTCAATTGATATGAGAAAGCTGGACACACCGACGTTTTAAAATCATTGTCCTATAAGTACACATTGATACACGTCATCAATGATCAGCATCTTGCATCGGATACTCTAATTGTTCATTCGAATCGAATTGAAATTAATATCGATGATGATACTGCTTGAGCTATATTAGGTCCCAGTTTAATTTAACTTTATCCGACAGTTCCGCCACTACTGTCCACCCATTTGAAAATAAACATGCATGAACCAGTGGCGTAGGAACAATGTACGCCAAAACGCCAGTGCGTAGTGTTGAAAAGTGAGAATAAAAAAGACTTTTTAACTTTCCTATGTTCTTTCTCATTGTTTAAATTGTAAAAGTAATCTCGAGCACACTAGCCTAAAGAAATGTTTTGTGGATACCATATCATTATTGGTCTGTCTGGCAAATATCATTTAACAGATTGAATTCCCTTACCAACATGCTTTATTTCATGAAAATCGAGCCACTATTGACTGTCTTATAAATACAATTTCGCCAAATATTCGTGAATCGCGTTCTCTTCACGAATTTGAGAGGAAAGCTGTTTTTTTCAAAAACTACTTGATGAATACCTTTGACATTTTTTCTGCATTTTCCGTAATGCTTATGCTAACTATGGTATCATATAATTATAATGATGAACCTCTTTAAATTTAGATGTATATTTTTTTATTCTCCCCTACCCCAATTTTTCAATTTAACTATCGATTTATATTCCGTTGCTATGCAAAATCATAGACACGAAATTATAGTTAAGTCAACAATTATCTATTTTCTTACTAAATCACTAATTGTTATTGGTAGTACTTTTTGAAATATGGATGTTAAAGACAAAAACAACTTGAAAATGCTGATTATTCAATTACACGTTCCATTGATTTCAGATCTAGAAAAGCGATAACCTAGTTTTTTTTCATTTGACAAATAATAGATTCTTGTTTTATAACATTTTTTGGCATCCCCTAAGTCACGTTGACCTCGATTTGACCTTTGTGGTGGGTGTATTTATTTGTTTCATTGATCACGAATCTTTATATCAATTGATCAAACTAGTTTCTTTAATCTGTACGTATTGTATTGCACGGTACACGATGGAATCCGACAATACTATATATCTTCAGATCTTAATTCAATTATTCGAAAATGATTAAAAAATCTCTAATTGTTTTTTGGAAATTGGTCGTCTAAATCGTTCGGGATATTAGCAAAGTGAGAATGATTTGTGTCGAGATTTAAAAGATAGGCTTTCCAAGGTGATTTTAAATGATGAAAATCATTCGAACATTTTAAAGCACATTAAAAAGGTATCGGGGATTTAAAGCTTGCATATGAAATCGAAACGCCAACCTATACGTATGACCAATCGCCCATACAAATGCATCGCTTAAGTATTTCCGTTCACATTTAGGTTGTGAATATTGCAAGCTTGAAATCTCTGTTACCATAAAATGACGTTTTACGAGCATAATATAGGCGTTTTGATATAGAATATTGACACAATAATTGTTTCATATTTTTTTGGCGGGATTTTTGGCGTAGTGTTGAATTTACACCTTCCTACGCCCCTGTGAACTGAGGAGTTTAAGATTTTCCACATACAAATGCTACACAATTAAAATAATTCTCTATATCGATATATACAAATAACACCTTACAAAATTTGTGGTAATGAATTTATTTATTTTTGCTGCGAACATCTTTTCATAACTCGATCTCCCTAGATTTTGGCCTATCACTAATTCACCTAGGATGGTATATGGAACTTACGATTCTAGGCGATGTGAAATGAAAATTACGTGTATGAAACGTTTTCGAATGAGAAATGCCAAATTGCAAATTGAGTAAAACCCATATATGATCTACCAAATTCGAATTGATCCATAATCTTGGTCTGATTTCATGTGTGCAAGTACAGGAAAGAAGTGTATATAAATGTAATTTGTTAATTTAAAACATATTCGATTTTAAGACTGTTGCCTGAACTTTTATCACTTAAATGTTTCAGACCGGTAAGCTTATGTATCAAGCCACAAGTAAATGCAGGATGGAAATATATATTTGTATTTAGAGAATGCAAAATCAAAACTATGGAATGTAATGAAGCAAAAAATCATAGCTTTTCTTCTGATATATTTTCAGATCGAAGCTGATGCTCTGAAAGAGGAAATAGCTTATGGTCTAAAACAAAGAAAATCCAAACAACAAATGACAAAACAAACTGCTCCCACTAACCCTGAACCCGAAATACGACAAGTTGGTTTACCATACAACAGTAAGAATAATCTGGAGATGGACACGGAAACGTACAGTGAAATTAAGAAAGTGATGGAGCCTGGATCCGATCAACTGAAAGACGATTTGCAGGAAGCGCTTGTAAGTTTCTTATAGTTTTTGGTTGTTTCTAAGTTGATGAAAGGTTTTTGCAGGAAGCGCTTGTAAGTTTCCGGAAGTTTTTAGCTGTTTCTATGTTGATAAACAGTTTTTGAAATAACAATCAATAAGATGTGATTCTAATTTCAATTATCATATCACCGACTACACTTTGAATATTTAATAATGCAAATCAGAATTGTTGTCTGCTTCAACATTCTTTAATTTTATCATTTTTGTCAAGTCAACATTATTTTCATTTATTTCCCGAACAATGGACTTATTACAATTTCAAGTTTAACCTTTTGGTAAAATGCAATATACTATACATGGTACAATTTGCAGATTTTATTTCGAAAAAGAGATTGATAAAGAACATAAGTATAAATAAGTGATCTCAGTATCTAGTGCAGTCAGAATGTGGGTTTCAGCGTGCGTTCAGAGGGATTTTATGAGACATAATTTTTCATGTTACTACTATGATTATACATATTTGTATGGATTATTAGATCTTAGTTTTTCAGCTTTTAGATTTTGTGGCCATTTTACCCCCCATGGGCTAAAATTTGGACCCCTACTATAAAATTGGGCAAGAACTCAAAAAATACTCAGTGGAATATTTCCAAATTACTAAGTTATATTGGTATAGGCTAACTAAATATATGATAAAAATTTCATGTCACATGGTTAAGTGATTGTCATGGAAATGGATAAAACATGCCCTTCGGGTGTCAATTTTCAGGCCAATTTTTCAGGACTGACAGAGTCATTTCATGCATATTTTGTCACCAATGTGTTAGGAAGGATTAAAATGTAAATAGAAAACTTCTATAATATATTAGCAACAATTGTATGTAAAGATCAGTCCACAAAACCTCAGATTTTGGCCTTGTATTGGTCCATGACTTATACAGGGGTCTATTACATAGACTCGAGCTCCCACATTGGATGGATGCTATAACTTTTGAAATAATGGAGATACAGGTCTCATTTTTTCAGATCTTCATAAATGGTTGGTTTTAAGTATTTTATTATACTTTGGGAGCTGACATGTGATTGGTTGCCATGGTAACCAGGGATTTAGGGAAATTCTGACCCCCACATTGGATGGATGTTATAACTTTTGAAATAAGGGAGATACATGTCTCATTATTTCAGATCTTAGACAATGATTGATTATAAATATTAAATTAGATGTTGGGAGCTGAAATTTGATTGGTTACCGTGGTAACTAGAGTTTTATCGAAATTTGGACCTCCTCAATTGATAAATGCTTTAACGTTTGAATTTAAGCAGATACAGAAATAATTTCAGATCTTAAGAATTAATTAGATTTGTGTATTGAATTAGACTTTGTAACTTAGCATTTACTTGATTGCCATGGTAACCATGTTTCGTCGTCATGGTACCCTTAATTTTTTATTTCATTCTTACCTTCATTTGAGAATGGTCAATTCACAACATGTTATACCAAAATGCTCAAAATTATCATTTTGCTCTTAATTTCAGCAATTTATCCCGTATGTCTGACAGTATAGCCTCATTCCATTCTACTAATTCTCACACATATTCTGATTCCCAACTTGTTTTTACTCATCATTATCGTTTTCATCTTCCACAATTGCCTCTTAATTAAAAATATCAACAATTTTTATTGGACAGAAGGATTCTTTTGACCATTCTTGTGTTAAAGATTCCTCAGGGAATTCACAGTTCATTCATGCAGTGTTGGGCATAATGGGTTTAGGCTGGTGGGAATGTGTCCATACATAGGTTTGATAATTTACCCTCTTTAAATGTGAAAGAAAATGTCAACACCTTCATAAGTGAGGGCAGCACTGTTCTGTTTTGTTTTGTATCTCATGGGAAACAGCTCATCTCGTAATCTACTAGTTGCAGTTATTTTTCTGTTTCTGCTGTATTTTTACAGATGAACAATTCAACTTTCGATTTTATGGTAGTGGTTCCTATATTGGTTCCCATTGAAGAAAACAACTTTAAGAATTGTTTGTCTTCCGTTTCAGTTGATTTACTTTTCCTTTGTTCAGAAAGGCACTGGTGGAATCTGATCCAGTAAACGCATTGAAGTCTAATATTGCTTCACACAGGACTTGGTCCTAGGTTTGCAGCTACAGGGGTTGGGTTGAGCTTCTGACATCTAATGGGACAGAGTTCACATCAGTTTAGGTTCTTAAGGTTGTTTTCTTCATAATAGGAATCAATATAGAAATTCCTGACACAAAAAATTCAAAGTTGAATTGTCCACCAGTAAAAGTACAGCAGAATTACAAAAATATATTTGTAACTTACATCAATAGATAACGATATGAGCTGTTTCACATAAGATATTCTCCAAAACAGAACAGTGCTGCCCTCACTTATGGAGGTGTTGATATTTCAACTCTTCCCATCTTTCAAGATTGGTCCTTCACTGCTTTCATAGCATCCGATATAATGCAATGAATTAAATGATGAACTCTTCCACTTTGTAATGATTGCTCATTATAACATTTGAAGAGGATGGATGATAAAACTTATATTTGGAATTGGAAACATTACCCCCCGTCTCCCAGGAGTTCACTGTATATAAACCTTGAGGGGATCCTCAGCTCAGGTTGGGTACTTTTGATATTTGATATGGCAATGGACCCAAATTTTAGGATCTGGTATGAGAATGCTCTCCAAATTATGACTTGAGAGGTATGGCAATGGTCGGTTTTGGGAATGGATGGAAAAATATGTTGCCCTTCACTTGTTGTACATGTATGGCATTGATCTAGTATATCCTTAATGTGAGGTTATTATTGGTTGTTTTCCTCAATGATCTGCCTTCTTCTTGAGGCATTAGAAATTTTGAATGGCCATGTTTTCATATCTGGATATATTTGGTATGGCACTGGTCCTATATTTTTGGGCATTTGGTATGGCTTTTGGGCATTATTTTGGTTGATATTGGAACACACTCAAATTTGACGGCTTGGATGGGAACATATTGATATTTGAGGGTTCAGCCTAGGAACCCAGCCATATTTTATATACAGTGAACCCACAGAGACCAGTCTTAACCCATTCTGCCAAGTCTAATACTGCATGAATGGACTATATCCCCTGAGGATCCTTATCACCAGAATGGTCAAAACAATCCTTCATTCCAATAGAAATTACCCTGCGTGCAGAGTCTAGTTAAACTACACTCTGCCTAGTAGAGACTATATTTCAGTTTAGTAGCCCCGCCCCCACGACGGGTACCGGTGACAGTTTGGGTATAAATTACTTTTGACCTAGACGCACTGACCTTTCTTCCACCAATCAGCGAGCTTGAAGAAACATACGCCAAATGCGTTCTAATAAAATATGCGCATGTCATTGGTCAATTCTGGGCTCAACAATGACGTCAGAAGGAATGACCATATATAGAACGTTGGTCAAATTTTGCCGACGAACACTGATTGGCGCGGTGAGTTCACAGGTTTATTTTAGTTTGAAAGAGTGAAGACGAAGCTCTCTTTTAAGAAGTGAAGTCAAACGAATGCAAAGGGTAAATAGAAATTGATGTTAAGAGGAAATTGTGCTAAATGAAAACAGTAATGATAAGTACAAATGAACAAATTATGAGTCAGAGCTTTTGTAAGAACTAGTTGTATGGAATAAGGCAATATTGTCAGACATGCATGTATTGTTTACTAGTATTTGATATTTTATGAGCCAAACAATGGTTGCATCTCTAGTATTATTGAGTCATGAGCATGTAAATCATATAAAATAGAAAAAAATCCCAAAATTAAGAATAAAATGGTAACTTTGAGCAATTTGTCATTTTATGTCATTTATGTCACCTATCTAGAATAAAGGTGAATCTGAAAACGAAAACAGCAGTTACCATGACAATGAAACATGGTTACCATGGCAGACAAATAAATCCTAGCTTCCAAAGTCTGATACAATATACACATATTATCATTATCTTACATTTGAAAAGATTATATCTTATCTGGCTGTATTTAAGAGTTATAGTGTTCATCAATTGTGGAGGTCTGAATTTCAACAAAACCCTGATTTCCATGGTAACCAATCAAATTTCAGCTCCCACAGTCTAAATCAATACTTTAAATCAATCATTGTCAAAAATCTGAAAAAATGAGACATGAATCTCCCTTATTTCAAAAGTTATAACATCCATCCAATGTCGGGGTCAGGATTTCCTTAAAACCCTGGTTACTATGGCAACCAATCATATTCCAGCTCCAAACGTATATTAAAATACTTAAAACCAACCATTTATGAAGATCTGAAAAAATGAGACCTGTATCTCCCTTATTTCAAAAGTTATAGCATCCATCCAATGTGGGAGCTCGAGTCTATGTAATAGACCCCTGTATAAGTCATGGATCAATACAAGGCCAAAATCTGAGGTTTTGTGGACTGATCTTTACATACAATTGTTGCTAATATATTATAGAAGTTTTCTATTTACATTTTAACCCTTCCTAACACATTGGTGACAAAATATGCATGAAATGACTCTGTCAGTCCTGAAAAATTGGCCTGAAAATTGACACCCGAAGGGCATGTTTTATCCATTTCCATGGCAACCACTTAACCATGTGACATGAAATTTTTATCATATATTTAGTTAGCCTATATCAATATAACTTAGTAATTTGGAAACATTCCACTGAGTATTTTTTGAGTTCTTGCCCAATTTTATAGTAGGGGTCCAAATTTTAGCCCATGGGGGTAAAATGGCCACAAAATCTAAAAGCTGAAAAACTAAGATCTAATAATCCATACAAATATGTATAATCATAGTAGTAACATGAAAAATTATGTCCCATAAAATCCCTCTGAACGCACGCCGAAACCCACATTCTGACTGCACTAATCCCCGAGCGACTCGAATCCATGGCCCCTAGACTACAATACATATCAACTTATTTGAATAGTCTGGCTAAATAATTTTAAAATTGCATAATAGCTTTGTTTCGGTGGCAATTGGGGCGTTTTTGTTTTCAGGTAAATTGAGCGTTTCTGCTTTTCGGGAATTGGGTCGTTTCCCGTTTCACAGGTAATCGGGGCGTTTTCTGTTTTACAGGTAATTGGAGCGTTTTATGTTTTACTAATCTTGTTGTGTTTGTGTTCGTGTTCCAGAGGAGCGTACATGCTGATGGGGAGGACAGCTTGGTCGCTGAATACAAGAGATTCATTTTGCGCTCTCGCCCCTAATTGCAAGAGATCTGGAGAGAAGCATTGCTAAAACAGTAGGACTTGAAATGAAATACTAACATGTATACCCTCCGATGAATAAACCTCATAATGTGACATGCTATCAAAAATTGCTGATGCAAGTTGAATATGAATGTTAACTTTCAAAAGCACTGCACGAATATGTAAATAGTCATTCTACATATGCATACAGAAAAATAAATAATAGATCGTTTTCAAGAAATAGCGTGTAAAGTGTTATACTTTATGATCTAAAAATCTAGACCCTTGTTTATAAAAAGGCAGGAAATTCAACTATTTCAAGATTCTAAGATGAATAACTTTTCAAAAATGTATCTAATAGTTTTTCGAGGCATGAAGATTATAGATTTTCTGAACGCAAATGAACTCATATTTGCGATTCTTTTTACCCTGTCGCAAATCAAAACGCAAATATTGTGCATCTTTAAACACTATTTTTTATATGTTAATTGTTGTTTTCCGCTTGTAAATCCTTCAAGAATATCATGTTTGTTTCCAAACAATGCGAAAATCATCGCATATATCGTCTGCAAATAGCACTCCGGAAGCTGCGGGAAGAAAGCTAAATATATGTTCCACTTCTTTTTGAATCGACACCACAATCGCATAGGACTGAGAATATTTCGAGATAGAATCAATCCAATTGATACACTAGATGATTCGGAGATGTTGCAAAGGTATAGAATGCCGAGAGTTCAGTTCAGTTCAGTATCTTTATTTCCTCCACATAGGTGAAGATTTAAACATAACATATAATTACAGACAATTCACATTAACAGATTATTTCACACTGATAAAGGCTATGTACTGAGCCACTGGGTATCTACCTATGTACTCCACCCTTTTAAGGGAAAAGGCAGAATCAAGCGACTTTGATGACCAGCGCTTAGAACAAATCATACAAGAGATTAATGAAATCGACCCACTTGATTCTGAACCAGACAGCCCCCTTAACCAGTGTATACCAATAGTTCCCAACTTCCAATGATCACTGAATATTTATAGTGTCTATGACTATGAGAGCCATAGTTGTCAGATCCGAATTATCACTGTATAGTGTAAATGTATTTATAATATTTACTATGATCTGGCGGGAGCTTGCATGGGTAAATCGAATAAGAGAAGAACAATATTTCAATCATAGGACACAAGGGCTTCAATTTCTGAAATACGTGCAATCAGATCATACAATTCGGTAGTATTTGATTCAAGGAAGCGAACATACAAAAACCCCGGGATTGAAACATTATTTATGAGGAGTCAAAATTGTTTTTTCATTGGGACTCACAATTTTGGTAATTTTTGCCTCCTATATATCTGAAGAGCACATTGTGCAAGTAATGAAAAATACAAGACAATTGAAAAAAAATCTTTCTTCAAAAGATTTTCCCGAAAATACTCTAACCCCCTCCTGTCAAATCCTGGCTACTGTTACGCGGTAAACGCGATACAAAAATATGTCATATTCCGCAACGAATATGGCATATTCACTTGCGGCGTATGACAGATTCACCTGCGGTATAAGGCATACACACTAACCAATGAGAACGTGATACGGAAGTACGCAATTGTCAATTGCATCGATTGAACGAACAAGAAAAACTTAATAAATTATTATAATGATTACTGAATCAACAGTACTGTGTATCGAATATATTAACTTAGCAGAAGTATCAGTCACCAATCTCACGTAATAAACTTACTCAATCAATCCAGGATTCATATATTAGTACTCGACGCACGAACTATCCAGCGTAGTTTTACATTTAGAGTCGATTCTCGCAACCAATCAAATCAAGGCTTTCTGTATCACGTTTTCACCTGCGGTATATGTCATATTCACCCGCGGTATATGGCATATTCCGCAAATAAGTATGACATATTCCGCAGGTGAGTATCGGGTATTCACTGAAATCAATGTATCGCATATTCACTGCGGAATATCGCATACTCACCTGCGGAATATGCCATATACCGCAGGTGAGTATGGCATATTCACCCGTATCACAAATACCGCGCAACCATGAATGTATGCCATATACCGCGTAACAGCTACGACGCTGCCAATGAAGAGAAAAAGAAAGTAGTATTCACCTTTCCCCAAAGTCCAAAGTGTACTCATTTGACCGCTGGGCTGATTGGTCGATGAAAATCAATGACGTCAAAGCAGGGCACATTTCGCGCCAAAACTTGAATTACTATTAGATCGCCGAATGAGTTAAATAGATCTCATTATACAATGATAACAAAACTAAGAGGAAGGCCGCTCCCCTCCCCCTGGCAAGAATTCTTTCAAAATCATGCAGTTTTTCATCATTCTGAGCACTTTTCGTATGATTTTTTGCCAAAACTGTCGAAAAGCCCCCCCCCCCCTTGGTAAAACCGCTCCCCCAGGTAAATCTTGACTACAGGCTTGAATTGCCGGAGTTTCTCTCTTGTAGGTCTACGTCCCAAAATATCCTGAAAATTCTCTAAAAATATCGATATTTATAAGAAAGCCCATGGGCTTTTCAAGAGATAAATCTCTTCAAATAGACGATCGTGGGTAAAACAAGCAACTCTGGTACATTGTCTCAAAGCATACATGAACGGCCTTACATTGTTCAATGAAATTAGTCATCACTCATGCCATGTAACCATTGTCAAATTCTTTGGCAGACATAAAAGTAACATTGTCATGTGGTATAATAGGTGGCTGAACGCCGGCCTGAACGTAAGTGAAAATAACACACCGTTTGCCCAGATTTGAGAGTCGAATACTTTTTCTTCAAGGTTAAGCCGTATCCCCTTCTTCACCCCTTGAGAAAATATTACACGAACTTAAGACTACCATGGGATGTTGACATTTTTACAGTCAAGAACTAAACATGGGGTTTTGTACAGTCGGCGTAATTTGAAAATGTGCAGGAAACATTGGACTCTTCACATTAATATTTCTCTATTCATTTGATTTCCCAGAACAATATAAAGAAGGTGGAATATAGACACGGGTAGTATCTAAAGCCCCGCCATGATTTAGAAATCGCGAGCAAGTTCCCGCTGAAATCACGAGCAAAGTCCTTTTTATTTGTGTCACCTGGAAATATGGACAAAAATGGTAAGAATACGCATTACTGTTCTTTGAAACTTGAGGTATACTTTCAGAACAGGTATATCTTCACAAACAATGACATGAACGATAAATATGTTTATCGGCATGGAAGAAACTGGCGCAAATATGCACGTTTACATAATTTACTGTAACATAATTACTTTTGTCGTTAAAATTGAGACAAGAACTACGATATGCATTTCTCATAATGAATATTGGATCAACATTGTATGTATTGATAAGTTAGTTTACAATAACATCTCCTGTGGGGGGTGAAATACACCATTGGAGGTGTTCCAGTGGCCCCGCTGAAATTATGAGGAAGCCCCGCTGAAAACATGAGGAGGTCCCGCTGAAATCAGGAGCAGATTTAACGAGTACCCGCTTCGATCACGAGGAAAGCTTCATTACATTCCATTAAATATTGAGGTTCTTCAAATAAACGTACACGAAAGACCAAGTAAAGTATTTCTATTAATTATATATACTGTTTCATTCTAGGGCCACGTTTCAAATGTTTTTATTGCAACTTCAAGTCATCAGAGCAGAACGATTTCGTCAAACATTTTATACAGTTTCACCCATCATTGGATTTCAAAATAAACGAACCAAAATATATAGGTCTGGAGAAAGATGGATATATCGTGTATTAGACTTCAACATAAATTCAAGACAACTTGATGGAAGCATGAAGTTCAGGGGAATGAGCCTTTTATTAAACAGAGACACCCCAAGTTCCAAGAAGAGGAAATTTTGAGAGAAAGGAGAACCACAAAGGCTCCATGATAATTCAGAAGACGTTGTAGGTTCTACTTTTATAATTTAACAATAACATTAAAGTTTTTGTTTTTTAAATATTTATTGCAAGAATGATTTATACACCATCAATGTAGAAAAATACGTTATTACAATACTTCAAAAAATGTGAGATGTCAGGAAGATTTCGATGGTCATTTGATGTTTCTCCAAGTTACCAATGTCGTATCTAAGTATTCCATACCTGGCTACTGAGGTTTTGTAGGCACATAACGAGCCGATATACAATCAATATACCATGCGTATCAATCAGTGATAAAAGCATTGATTTCATTCATTGTACCATAAATTAAAGCCATGTGGCTCCTCTTTCCAATGGTATATCATTCATTGATATTGGGTCATGTTTGAGCGAGTAGCCATTCCTTTTGTAAAGTAGGCCAAAATAAGCTTGGGACCAATTTATAAACATCGCGAATGTCAGTGTAATATTGGAAGAAAACATAAAACCAATGCATCCTTTTCATAATAATCATTTCCGAATAATCATTAATTTCGCAATGTAGGGCAAAATTCAGTCCGGACCCAAGTTTTAAACAGTACATAGGACATATGGGATATTTGAGGAAGGTGTGGCAGGTGTGACATAGACACGCGGTACTAACTTCGACAGTTAATTTGAATTTTTGACCTACCAGATGTTTGAAAATCAAGGATTGCGCGTCTCATACTGCACCGTTTTTCTTCAAAATTGTTCCATTCAAAGTAAAACAAAATTGCCTTTCTGTCGGTGCATTGCTTTATTGTAAAGAGTCCCTCGTTTTAGCAGCGTTTTGGTCCCCAGCTGTGAAATGCCGCAGAAAGTAGGGACTCTGTAGTAGTCCCTACAGTAAAATGTACCAACAGAAAGGCATTTTTGTTATGCTTTAAATATAACAATTGAAGTTGTATCTATTATATCCTGACGTTTCAGCATCAAACATTAATATTAAGTCTTAATATGGTTGCCATAACAACATGGGGGTAGGGGCGGGCGGGGCAGGTACCAATTTTTCTAATTATGAAAAGATCCAAAGTGTTATTTTATTAATATTTCTTTCCTTTAAATGGTCAAAAAGTTTGGGAAATTGTCAAATTTATTCAGCATGATGCTAACCAAGTACAAATAATGACATTTAGCACTGTGATGTCAAAATACCAAATTTTAATAGTCACGAATTCAACAGTCAAGAAATTGCAAAAATGACTGCAATTCTCACCTGATAACAGGAGGCCTTGCGTTGGTGGCCTATTTTCATACTTCACTTGGACTCACACACTACTATACCTAACACCTAGAAATGCATAAGATACTT